AAGGGTACAAGCTTTCAGTCATAAAACCAACAATTTCTGGAGAACTAACATATAGCACTTGACCATAGTTAATAATGTGGCATTATGTGTTTGAAATTTTGAAATTTTCTATGAGAGGATTTTTTAATGTTATTAGTTCACTATAATTATATGACACATTTATTTGTATAAGATAACAGTGGGTTTCATTATGCCATATTCACATGCATTTAACAGAATTTGCTGAATCTCATTCCCCAGTAACATTAAGAGAGTACATGTTAGAATGTACTTATCACACAAAAACAAAAACTACATCAGATGTTAAAAGCTTGATTACAGTGATCATTTCCATAATGTCTGCTCAAGTCAAAACATCATGCTACACACTTTAAATATACACAACTTTTATTTGTGATTTATACATCAATTAAACTGGAGGACAGACAGTTGATAGAGAAGCAATAAGCAATGCATGAGGGGAATTCTTCCATGCAGAAATCTCAGAACAGCAATGAAGGAGGAGAAAGTCCTGCTGCTTTGAGACCTTCCAGGTGTCTTTTCCCTCATCCTGAAACTGGTAGAGAACTCCTTTGTTCCTGAAATAAAATCTCTGGGCCCAGGCATGGTGGGTGCCTGCAGCTTTGGTTCAGCTGGAAGTCAAATTTGAGTCTGTGGGAGTCTTGATGAAGAGACCAAAGTAGGAAAATAAAACTTCTGAGATGGTCTTCTGCCTACGTATTTTTGGAAATGTAAGGAGATAAAAATCTGAGCTCTGTGCATCCCTGTACTAGATTCTGGGAAATGTCACCCAAATGGGCTGCAGTTACCTAATGTAGAAACAGTAAGGCCAATATGTTCCATTCTCAAGTCTGACATCTCTTCTGAGATAATGTCCCTTCTTCCTTGAGAAATAAAAAATATCCCTTTCTTTACTATTTTTTCAAAACTTTGGTCATTCAGTCACACTTAGATGGTGGCAGATAGTATTCCATTTGTTAGGTGACTGGAATAGAAAAGATGTTTTAGTCTGCTTTTCTGCTGCTGTGATTAAAGGACCCGACCAACATAATTATAGAGGAGAAAAAGCTTATTCAGAGGCTCATGGTTTTGGGGGTCTTATTCATAGAAGGCTGTCTTCATTTCTCAGGATGCAAAGTGAAGCTGAACATCATGGTGGGAGAGTATGGCAGAGGGAAACAGCTCACATCATGGTGATCAGAAAGCAAAGAGAGAGACTCCACTTTCCAGATACAAGTATATACACCAACTCCACACCCTAATTCCCATGTCCTCCAGACATACCCTACCAGTTCAGTTATCACTCAGTTATTCCCCAGCAGGGGATTAAATCATTGATTAAGACTCTTACAACCCAATCATTTCTGAACCTTCTTGCATTGTTCCACACATGAGCTGGGAGACACCTCACATCCAAACCATAACAAAAGATGAATGACAAGCACCTGGAGATGAGGTGATAAATTATTCTTGGGATTTAAACTATTTCAGTTATTCATGATGCTTGAGGCAGCAAACCTCCAAGGACTTGACCTAAATAAAAGAATCCCATGAGTAGAAATAACCATACAGTCAACCTGAGTTGAGTCAGGCACTACAGAGAAGTTTAATCTCATTTAATCTTCAAATCAGCCTCAAGGTGAAGGGAGTATCAATAAATTCATTTTCCACATGGGAGAAGAGGGCCACGAGGAACTTAAGAAATGAAAACGTGATCCCACAGAGGTCACCATTACCAAAGCACATATTAAGGCTAATAAAGATAGTCATTCTGATATCTTCTGTCTCCCTTCTTCATTTAGGAAAAGCAAATCTGTAGGTAGAAGATGAGGGCCTCTGAGGCATGGGATAATTGCTCTCTGCTCTGAATGAAGGAACACTTGCCAGGCTCAGCATAACCTGGACAAGATATCCATCACCTCCCATCTCACTTTCTTTTATAAACCCATGAACCAAAAAGCATCTGCAGTCTGTGTGGAGGAGACAGGAGACTACCACCAAAGTCCAGATGACAGATGGCAGAAGTGATGCTTGTTTGAAGAGTTTGTTTATGGGGAGAGATTCTCGAGATGTGATTCTGTGGGTTTGGACTTCATGTACTTCTGGCTTGTGCTGGACTCAAGCATAAAGTTTAAAACTAGCTAAATTTGAATGCCTATTTGAAAGCCAAAAAGAAGCACTGAGTAAGAAGGTGGGTAGTATGGAACACTGGGCATTGAGGCAGAGGTGAGATCTTCTGATATAAACTTGAGAAGGATTAGCACAACTCTGGTATTTAAAGGCCTCAAGTGGAAGAGATGATCTGGAAAGGGTGTTGATTTTAAAAGTGTATAGGAGAAAGAATAGGAGATATTGTGGAGAAGCTAATCGAAGAACAAAGGTGTTTTTAAAGAAGTGAATGAATTAAAAGTGTACTATATTGCTCAGTGCAGGTAGTAGAATTGCCCAAAGATTTTGATAGGTCATATGATTTGCAATGACCTTAGGCAAATTATGCTAATTGGCAGAAATAATCAGGATTGTTTTTCATCTTTTCTAATGCTTTTCTTAACTTTCAAATATTTTGAGTTGGCTATGGTAGCTTTTCCTGTTTTGATTTTATGGCCCCACTTAATTTTCAGAACATTTTCTAAATCTCAAAATATGCTAACCATTGGAGGATGTTAACATTGAACAATGAGGAAATAAAGCTAGGATTATATATTCTTCCTCTCATAAATCTTTTACTATATCGAGACAATTGTATCCCTATCCTAATTATGTAGTATATAACCTGGGTTAAAAAGAATTTTGGCTGAGAATATACTAGGGCTTCAACAATTAAAATTCAGTTTCCTAATATGTTCTGGAGTCCCACTGCAACTCTGTTTTTATTGTACGTATTATTTTTTATCCTGCCTCATTTGAGAAATGGGCTTGGACTGCTTGTGTTTCCATTTGCTAAACCACAAGTATGCCATTGAGTCCATTCTCTTTGGCATTACCTGGTCCTGAAGACAGATTTGTTCCCACCAAAATTCATATATTGCAGCCCTAATCCCCAAATTAACTGTATTTGGTGATAGGTTCTCTAAGGAAGTAATTAAGGTTAAATGAGGTCATATAGGTGGGGGCTTTGATATTGTAGGATTGGTGTCCTCATTAAGAGATACCAGAAAGTCCTCCCTGTAGTTTTGGAAGAGAGCCTTGGCAAAACCCTACAAGAAACTTGTTCTTGGACTTTGCAGACTTTAGAACTATGAGCAAATAAATTTTCTATTGCTTGAGCCACCTAGACTATGATATTTTATTATGGTAACTGAAAAAGGATAAAATACCTGGGAATAAGATGAAGAAGTTCCAGTCTCACCTGCAACTCACTCCAACATGTGTTAGGTATTTTAGCTTGAGTAATTGTCTTTACTTTGTAAATGTGGTAATGCAATCATTCAAATATATATTAGCTTATATTTGTTGTGCATGTGTTATGTAACAGACACATTTCTAGATATTAGAAACACAGAGGTGAACACATGAAGCCTATATTGCAGTGCACATAGAAAAAAAATAAGGAAATACAAAGAACAATTTCTTAAGGTCACATGTAGAGGTAACTACAGAAATACAATTTCAACCCTCAATTTTGATTTTGTTCTTTTAATTTCTCCCAATAATTCTTCCATGCCTGGGGAATATTTTCCACAAATGGTTGCTTAAATGCTCAGATGTTACCTCCAATAAACTTAATGGCCAAAGTCTCCATCCCCAGAATCACACTTCTTCAAATTCTTTTCATTTTCCTATGTCATCGATCATGATCCAAAACAAATCATATATATATAAGTGTTTTAGAAATTTTGTTTAGAAAATAAAAGCATATATTTTTGTCTCCCTCAAGAAGTTGGCATACTTCTCTATTTTATATAATTATAAACATATGTTTAGTCATGCATGTTTTGCTTTCTGACTACCACAGAGCCAAGTTTTAGAATAACTTCTGGAAAATCCACTCAACCTATGGAGGGTTCATGTAGTCATTATTTTTATTTGGACTTCATTTTGATTATTGTGCTTTAACTTCCTCTCATTCAGGTTATCCATTTATATGTGATAAGAAGAGCTTCATTTAGAATCTTGGAACCAGTAGTGTAACCCCTTCCTGAAACAATAGTGTCAAAAATAAAAGTTTTTTTCAAAATAAAGGAACATAATAGTCATCATGTATACAGAGTTGACCTGTTTACATATGAAATTTTCACATTGTCTATTGATGTTGGACATAAGGTAGAAAAGAACCAAGCAACACCATTGTGCTCAAGCTAATGGATGAAGACAGCATCTCTTATGCTTGCAGACAGACAAGGGACAAGAAAATCTTAAGTGCTCCCAAGGAAAGAGTAGGAGAAGATCTCTCAGAATAATCAACTAGGCTTCCTAAATTGGGGGGGGGGGGGGAGAAGACTGATTATCACATGTCTCACAGGAATATTTCTTTCAAACCAGCCACATTGTGTGGATATGTAGGTACTAGGAAGCAGGGGAGGGGAAGAAACTATAGGAGAGATTGAAAAATCTTGCACTAAGAGAAGGGGTTTGCTTTCCTGTTCAGAACTCTGCTTCAGAGCTGAAGTGGAGACAGCCATGCCCTAATTCCACAGAATCCAGCCAAACATCACAGCAACTGTAAGGCTTCCAAAACTTCAGCAAGCCAGTGCAATCTTGAGTTTATTAAAATTGACTCAGGGTGAATATAGTGCCATGACAACCCCTAAGAGGGTTCTGGTGTGATCACATGATTGTTTTCAATCTATGTTCAGTTACTGAGCTAATCCCAGGTGGGGCTGCCTAATCAGGTTGAACAGCTTCTTTCCTTGAAAGGGAACCTGGAAGAAGAATGAGCCCTCTCTCTCCTGGAATTGGCCATTTCCCTTCTTATAGCCCTTTCATTTACTTTTCCCAGATATCTCTGCTCCCAACTAGAACAGACATACAATGAGTAAAGAGCAGTCCATAGAAGACTATCAGTTAATAACAGCCTTTACAGAAGAAGGATAATATGTATCCCCTTGAATTAAAGATAAAGATGGGAAGCAAACCAGGTTGGTGTTTGGCAGATAATAGCTGAATGATAAATGGCTATGGATTATTAATAAAATAGCCTCTTCCTTTTGCAAACGAAATGTACTTGCAGCTTGCAAATTGACTTCTGGGCTCAAACATCCATCTAAACTGGAACCAAGAAAGTTCAAGAATGGTGATAGTTGAGGAAAGGACATACTCCCCCACTTCACATACACTTCTTCTTTGGACCAATAATTATCTCTTGATTTATATACTTCACTACACACATGGACATGGGCCCAATAGTATCCAATCTTCAAAACTAAAGCATCCCATAATATAGAAAGATATATATCAAATCCAATTTTTATGAAGAAAAATGGAGATTTTATTCTTTTAGTTATTGAAGAGAGGAGTAATTCCTTAACTCTTGAAACTTCTGTATAATTCTCCCAGGATTCTGGGATATAGGCGTGCCAGTTGCTTGCAGAAGATGTCCACATTTCACAACATATGCCTAAAGGGGAATAGAAATTAGCAGAAATATTAAGAGCCTTTATGTGGTTTTAGGCCTGACATTTTGTACTTGGCTTTTCCATCCAGTTTAGGTATTGTAACTCATTATAAACATTGGGGAGAATGGACAATATAATTAAAATTGTGAAAGAGTTTCCACTATAAGCTTTAATTTGAGGACACTAGAATTTTATAAATAATTCCCCTTTGGTTAAAATTTTCCATCTTCAGTTTTTACCCAAAGGTAATTTCTTTGTTTTTGTTTGCTTTGGAAAAAATTTGAGGGAATTTAACAGTTTGAGGGTTTGAACATATTTATTTCTGATTAATTTTGATGAATACCTTTATAAAGTATATTCTAATATATACTGAATATATAATATATATTCCTGAATTAAAATTACAAACTTAGAAAGTGAAATGATCATTAGAAATTTTTAAACCATAGTAAATGATTGTAATGAACATTTGACTTAAGAAGAATGACCATACCCACATTTAAATCACAGGTGTGTGATATAAAGAATTTAGGTCAAGTGAATTTCAGCTCACATTCTGTCTTATATCTACAAAAATCTGAAGAATATACCCTCCTGGATTGAATTAAAATTCCATAAGAGAAAATTCAACCTTATCTGTCAATTTCCCTACCTGCTTATATTAGGGTAAGAAAAAAAAATCTGTTCCCCTGAAATATTAGTTTTTGATTTTTGTTTAAAAAAAAACAAAAAACCTGTTCTCCCTCTATGCTTCCACCAATGTAAATTTCAGAAGTGTTTTTTTTTTTTAATGAATCTAAAGACATCAGTTCCTATATACAAAGATCCTGTATTTTGTCATCCCAATTTGCAATAAGGAAAAAGCAAATTACAACTAACAAATAAACACCAATGATTTTTCTTAGATACATCAGAAAAACAAATTTCCAGGCAAACTGCCAGCTCCAAATCTGAAAAAGCAGGGGATCCAGAGTGTCCCTACAGAGACTTTGTTGCCCAAGATCTGAAGCAGAGGTCACTGTAGCCATAAACTGGTGGGAACATTTTAGTAGCAACTTTGAGAAACTGCTGGAGGCTTAGTGTGAACTATCAGGAGATGATTAGCTCCTGGGAGCTGCAGCCTGAAGGTTTGGGGTTGTAACTCCAAGCATTCTATAAGGTTCTCATGGTAAAGATCCAAGAAGATCCCCTCATGGCTATGACAGGAAAATATTTTGAAAAATCATTGTGAAATTATCCTGGAGTGTTCTCCATAAGAGTCTACTCTTCAGGGACTGGAAGGGGGGTGGGGGCAGGGTTGGTTAGAACAGAACAGAACAGAAAAGAAAATGGAAAAACTGTCCTTGCCACACAACCTCAGGTACAAGAGGAGCACACTCCCCATTCAGCCCCTTTGGCATTCCTGTTTCACTTTAGAGAAGAAAAAAATAGTGGGAAGGTCAGATTTCTTGGATATGGACACTCTCATGACTGGGACTTAGTCTTGAGATTAAGGATTCATTACCATCACAGCAACAGGGCTCCAGTATAGTGGGCTACAACTTAAGTGACTGAAAGATCCAGACTCCCTGAACAAGAGTATTCAAAAGAGGTCAAAATCAAGAGAGGAGACAAGGATAAGAATCAAGGATAGCTAACAAACCTTAAATAGATCCCAAGCCTGAGACAGGCTAACACCAATCTTCACACTATCTGTCTTATATACTTTATTTATCTATTAATAAATGTTCATCACTCAATGAAAAAACGTATAATAAGATTAAGACAAGGAAGAAAAAAAAACAGTGTGAAGAGAAGAAGCAAGTAGCAGAACCAGATTCAGATATATCAAAGGCTCTAGTGAAAAAGGCAGACAACAGAAATGCAAGAACAGACAGATAAGGAAGCATGGAGCTGGGAACTCAGAAATTGTTATGGTTTGGATGTGAGGTGTCCTCCAAAAGCTCATGTGTGAGACAATGCAAGAAGGAAATGATTGGGATACGAGAGCCTAGCCCAATGTGTGGATTAATTCCCTTGATGGGATTAACTGAGTGATAATCGAAGGCAAGTAAGGTGTGGATTCAGGAGGTGGGTCCCTTGGGACATGTCTGTGGGGTATATATTTTGTATCTGGCTACTAGCATTCCTCTCTGCTTTCATCATGTGAGCCACTTCACTCTATTACACTCTTCTGCTATGATGTCCTGCCTCACCTCAAGACCTGAGGAATGGAGCCAGCTGTCCATGGACTGAGAGCCCCCAAATAAACTTTTCTTCCAGCAGCCAAATACATATTAAATATCAAAAACTTTCACCTAGATATATCAACCTCAAATTACAGAAAAGACAAAGAGAAAATCTTGAAAGAAGTCTGATGGAAGAAATACTGCACCTATGGAGAACAAAGTTAAGAATTATGGGGGCTGGAATACAGTTCAATGATAGAACACTTGCCTAGCATGTCTGAGGCCCTGGGTTTGACCCTCAGCATAACAAAAAAAGGGTTAAATTTCAACTTATTTCTTCTTTCCTCTAAAATTATATGCAAGTAAAAGAAGAGTAGAGTGAAACATCTAAACATTTTTTTTTGCAAGAAAAAAATCCAAATTAGAATTTCATATCTACATTTAAACAAAAACTTCCCACTGTGTACAGTTACTTTCTTCAAAATATTAAATAATGGATTAGATTTAAAAAACAATACTTTTACATCAAAGAAGCTGTATGTACCACTTATATGATATAATAAAAATGACATTGAGATCTTCTAATGAGCATTTTATAATAATACTTATATTATAAATTCTTTTAATACACAAAAATTTACAGATCTGTACTGTTCCATATACTTACTTCTGACCATATAATCATTGAATGCTTGAAATGTGGCTAGTATGAGTTAAGATAGACTACACATGCAAAATAAACAACAGGTACCAAAGAATTAATATAAAAGAAGGGATACAATTAATCATTAAACACTGATTATGTACTGAAATAATACTTTTTATATTTGAGTCAAATTACATTATTAAAATTAAATTTGTTAGTTTTTACTTTTTTACTTTAAAATGTTTAATTGGCACATAAAGTTATATTCAGGTATGCAAAACGATTGTGTGTATGTATACACACACACACACACACACACATATATATACATATCTCACATATGTACCATGTATTGATCACCATGATCAAATTAATTAATATAGCCATTACCACTCATAGTTACTATGACTTCCAGCATTTTATATGTAGCAATTGGAACATTTCAAACTACATGTGGTCCATTTTACATTTCTATTTGAGAGCTCTATACTTAACTTACAAATCTTAATTTTCTTTGCCATGTTCATCAGATCTTTATAGAAATCTCATAAAACATCAATTAAGATAAATGTAAAAAAAATCTATACCTTAAGCATACCATATTCAAAATGTGGATAACTAAAGATAAAGAAAAAAATGAAAGAAGTTCTATTTAAAAAAAAAAAAACCTTAGCTCTTTAGAAGCTGCATATAGAATTATATCAGACTTTGCTAAGAAACCTTACAAATAAGAAAATGCAGCAAAATATTTAAAGCATTGAAAGATAAAAACCACCAACCTAAAAAAATCTGTATTCAGTAAAATTATCTTTCAAATGTGAGGCAGAGATCAAGACTTTCTCAAACAAAAAAAGGAGGAATTCTTTGACAATAGACCTGCCCTGCAAGAAGTGTTAAGAAGAATGCCTCCGGGTGGTGGGAATAACATCCCTCAGAAACTTAGATCTACATAAAGACATGAGGAGTATTAGAGAAAGAATAAGTGAAAGAAAAATGCAAAAACATTTTTTTCTTATTCTTAATTAGTCTGACATCATTGTCTAATACTAATTAACTGTATTTAATTGGCATCTATACAAATGTACATTTTGCTCTCCAGCCCACATGAAACATCAGCCAAATCAAACCACATTTTGGACCACAAAATACACCTTAACAAACATACAAGTGGAAATCACAGTGCCTAATTTCAGATCACAATGAGTAAAATAGAAATTGACAATAGGAAGATAGTGGAAAGCCCCGAATACAGGAAGGGTAAAAAATAAGACTTCTAAAGTGACATATGAGACAAATAAGAAATCTTAAGAGAAATTTAAAAGCATTTCAAAATGAGTAAAACTCAAATTACAGGTTATTAAAATTTGTGAGGAATATTAAAAATAGCAGGAAATTAATAATGTTGAATGTATATATTAAAGAAGGTAGCTCAAAAGGGAGAAGGAGAGAGAGGGAAGGAGAGGAATCATAAATTACTAATATTAGAAATAAAAAGAGGCCATTCCTAAATATTCTCTGAATGTTAAAAGGATAATAAAGTAATATTATGAATAATTCTGTAATCAGAAATTTGAAAACATAGATGAAATGGAATAATTTCTTGAAAGACAAAAATCTACCAAAATGCCTACTACAAGAATAAGTAGATGATCTGAATGGTCCTGTATATATTAAAGAAATTGAATCAACACCAACAAAGGATTATTGTATTTTAAAGTTAAAAAGAATATATTTCTCCATTTTTCCCATATCTACATTTTTCCCATTTCCCTCCCAATTATGGATCAGCATCCACTTATCAGAGAGAACATTGTGCCTATGTTTTTTAGGGATTGGCTTACTTCATTTAGCATGATATTCTCCAACTCCATCCATTTACCTGCAAATGCCTTAATTTTATTCTCTTTTAATACTGAGTAATATTCCATTGTGTATATATACCACAGTTTCTTTATCCATTCATCTATGGGCATCTAGGTTGCTTTCACAGTTTAACTGCAATGCTATAAACATTGCTCTCTCTCTCTCTCTCTCTGTATATATATATATATATATATATAAAGGTTGATGTGGCTGCATTATTATAGTATACTTATTTTAAGTCCTTTAGGTATAGACTGAGGAGTGGGATAGCTTGGTCAAATGGTGGTTTCATTTCAGATTTTCTAAGGAATCTCCATACTGCTTT